CAATCCCCATCAAAATATCAAAGGCATTTTTTTTTTTTACAGATACAGAACAAATAATTCTAAAATTTGTCTGGACTCACAAAAGATCCCAAATAACCAAAGCAATCTTGAGAAAGAAGAACAAAGCTGGTGATATCACCCTCTCTGATCTCAAACTATACTACTAAGCCACTGTGATAGAAACAGTAAGGTACTGGCACAAAGACAGATACATAGATCAATGGAACAGAACAGAGAGCCTAGTCAGTTTATCTATGATAAAGGAGGCAAGAATACACAATGAGAAATGAAAAGATAACCTCTTCAATAAATGGTTTTGGGAAAATGGGACAGCTACATGAAAGAGAACCAAACTGGATGACCTTTTCACACCATATATAAAAATAAACTCAAAATGGATTAAAGATCTAAGTGTAAGAACTGAAACCATAAGACTCCTAAAAGAAAACATTGGCAGTACGTTCTTTGACACTCATGTTAGCAATGCTTTTTTTTTTTTTTGATCTGTTTCCTTAAGGAAGGAAAACAAAAACCAAAATAAACAAATGGGACTATATCAAATTACAATGCTTTTCTGCAGTGAAGAAAACTAACAAAAAAGTGAAAAGGCCACTTACTGAATGGGAAAAGATATTTGCAAATAAATCTGATAAGGGATTAATATCTAAAATACACAAAGAACTCAACAAACAACCCCATTAAAAAATGGACAGTGGACCTGAATAGACATTTTTCCAAAGAAGTCAGAAAGATGGCCAACAGACACATGAAAAGACATTCAACATCACTAATCATTAAGGAAATGCACATCAATCACAATCAGATATCACCTCATACCTGTCAGAATGGCTATCATCAAAAGGACAACAAATAACAAGTGAGGGGAGGATATGAAGAAAAAGGAATCCTTGTGCATTATTTTGGGATTGTAAATTGGTACAGCTACTATGGAAAATAGTATGAAGTTTCCTCAAAAAATTAAAAATAGAACTGCTATATGATTCAGCAATTTCACTTCTTGGTATTTATCTGAAGAAAACAAAAACACTAATCCAGAAAGATATATGCACTTACATGGTCATTGCTGCAGTTTTTCCAAGCCAAGATATGGAATCAACCTCAGTGCTCATCGATAGACAGATGATGTAACACACACACACACACACACACACACACACACACACACACACACAGCATTATGCAGCTATAAAAAAGAAATTTTGTCATTTGCAACAACATGGATGGATCTAGGGGGTATTATGCTAAGTGAAGTAAGTTAGAGAAAGTCAAACACCATATGATCTCATTTATATGTGGAATCTAAAAAAGAAAACAAACAAGCAAAACATAAAGCATAATGAAAACAGACTCACAGATATAGAGAATAAATGTGTCATTGCCAGAGGGGAGGTGGATGGGGGAGTGGGGAAATAGGTGAAGGGGATCATTAGGTACAAACTTCTTTATAAAATAAATAAGCCACAGGGATTCAATACAGTATACAGTATAAGGTCAGTAATATTGTAATATCTTTATATGGGGACAGATAGTTACTAGACTCATCATGGTGTTCATTTTATAACATACAAATGTCAAATCACTATGTAGGACACCTGAAACTAACATAATACTGTACATTAACTATATTTCAATTAAAAAAAAGACTGTAAAGAAACAGACAAACAGATTATATAAAGTATCTACCTAACACTACTTAGTACACAGCCAGGCAATTCAACAAATATTTGTTCCCTCTCATTCCTCCTCCATCATAAGGACCTTTGGAAACTGTTAATAATCTTCCCTTTAAATACTAGTTTGGTTAGCTCAGATTTATTTGAAAGTGCCATTCATCTATCTCTGGAGATAAGTTTACTTCAAATAGAAGCAGCCATTAGTATTATCTGGCAATTCTAACTTAGTCAATATTCAGAATACAAATTCTGGATTTTTTCCTCTCCATAATTTTAATTGTGACTCTAACAGGAAACTCATACTCAATGAAGAAAAATATCTCTTTATCAGATATGTAAATCTTAACTGAGCTTTAAACCTTGAAAAACACTTTTAACTGCCTTATTGGAACTCAGCATATCAAGTATGATTATTATTATTATAATTATATTAGCACCCATTAACTTCTATCTGACTGGAAATATTCTGTAACCCATTCAAGTAGTATTCCATTTTTTTCATTAAAGCTTGATTAATATGCAACTTATAAGTTAATTGAGTGGCAAAGATGATTTAAATCTGGGTTTACCTTAACAGCATCAAAATACATCTTCTTAGCTTCTAAATCTGTCTTGTCTGACATTAACCATGACTTTAGCAAATATTCATAAAAGCTGTCTCCAAGTCCTCCAACAGATACATGATCTGCAAAGAGAGGGAAATGAATTTTAGAGTGATTCAGCATTCAATTCAGATAATGCAGTAAAATCACATTAGTAACTAGGATGCAGAACCCTATGTCAACTGCAAGTCAATGCTACATTTAAATTCCAATAAATCTCTTGTCTTCAGAAAGATATTCTGAAATGAACAGATGTGCTATAAACTAATGTGATGTACTCTGAATAAATACCAATGTAGTTTTGTAAACATTCAGATAAAAAAAATATAATCAACCTGATTTCCAAAACTGTTTCTTTAGTAAAAATACCAAATTAAAATATTTCATCATATATGTATTCTTAATTGCTTTGATTCTCAATAATAGAAACTATGTCAAAGCTATGGGTATAATCAAATCTTAAAAAAAAAACCCAACTGGCTTGCAATATAACAAGAAGGTCCTCAGCTTCCTGTAATTATTATTATTTGGTAGGTTTTCTAGTTTTAACAATCTGAAGGGTCAAAATCCTTTTGGGGAGACCAGTAAGAAAGAGGACAGGGCAGTAGAAGTTTTTCTTCCTAAAACAGTCACCCCTCCATATCTGTGAGGTCCCCATTCAATCAACCATGGATTGAAAACATGAAAAAACTTCCCAAGTTCCAAAAAGCAAAACTTGAATTTGCTATGCACAGCCAACTACTAACATGGCATTCACACTGTATTTACAGCTATTTGCACAGTATTTACATTGTATTAGGTATTACAAGTAATCTAGAAATGATTTAAAGTATCCCGAGGATGTGCATAGGTTATATGCAAATACTATGCACTTTACACGAAGATTTGAGCATCCATGAATTTTGGTATCCATGGGGTTCCTGGAACTAATCCCCTGCAGACACGGAAGGATGCCTGTACTCCATTCTACAATCCCCCTCCACTGCCACGTATTATGCCATCGACTATATATATTACCAATAATCTTGCAACTTGTAGGATAGGTAACCCTCATTAAAAGTGAAAACTGAGATTAGAGGGGATAAACGAGATTATAACATTGGTAGGTGCCAGCTGACTGTTTGGCTCACACAGGATCTTAAATTTGGAATCACTTGCTCTCCAACATATAACTAAATGTAAATACTCTTTTGCCTACTGCTTGAATTAATACTTTTATTTTTGAAGCATATTTACCCACAGAGACATCTGAAATATCATTCCTAGAACTCATAGTGAATTTGAGCATTAATAGGATGGTCCTATTTGGGAAATCTGTGTTTGAAGTTTTATAACTCAAAACTAATTTCATGTATCTATAAAAAATAAAACCTTTACTTGTTGACTTAGTTACACAAAACTAAATCAGTTTTTATACATCTCTCAAGACAATTTTCTCCTGAGACCCACCCAACAACTCCATTTGGACATGGGGACTTAAACTTGAGCAGGTTAAAACTGAATTCAGTACCTTTTCCTCCTCAACCTTATCTTCTGCCTTGGTCCCTGTCTCACTAAGTGGCAGCATCATCCTCCCAACTGCACAAGTCAGACATCAGATAGGCATCTTTACTTCTTCTCTCCCTTACTCCCATATTCAATGAGTCACCGAACTCTACTAATTTTACCCCTAATATCTCTCTCGAGTCCACACACTCCTCTCTGTCCTCACTAATATGATTCTGGTCCAGGCTACCACTATGTCCTGCCTGAGTCTGCAATGGTAAATTATCCGGTTTCCTGCACTATGACAACACTCTGCTATTTAAAGTAGTTAAAATACAAAAACAAAACAAAACAAAACAAACCAGTTCCTCTGCCATACTAGAGCTCAATAGCTATGTGTGTCCTTTGGCTACTGCCCTGGAGAGGGGATACATAAAACACTCCCATCACCACACAAAGTTCCAAGGGCAGTACCACTCCAGTCTATTCCCACACTAATGCCAGAGCAACCTTTTTTAATGTGTGGATCGGATCATCCTGTATTTGAAGACTTCAATGACGAAGATGCGAATCCCGGGTCTTCGGAGACCTGGGAGGCCCTGTATGATGTCAGTCTTCTCTCCGCCATTGGTCCTGCCCCTCTTGCTCTCTGCTCTCTTGCTATCTGGCCCTTCTTCTGGTTTCTCCAAACCATCAGGCTCCTTCCTACCTCAGGGATTCTAAAGGCACTGTTCTCTCTGCCTGCAGTGCACTCCCTAACTCCTTTTCCCCTTCTTTGAATAATTCTTACTCATATTTCATATTTGGGATCAAATATTGTTTCCCCAAAGAGACTTTCCCTGACTGCCCCCTAGGTTTTCTCATTATATGCTTTCTGATAGCGCAGTCTACCACACCTGTACTTTCATAAAATGGTGAAATTTTTTCTGCCTCCTCCATGAGATTATGACCCAGGAAGGCAGGGACCAGGCCTATTATGTTTCCCAGTGCACATCAGCCCCTAAAAAGTATCTTGCCCATAGTAAGTACTCAGCAAATAATTGATGAACAAAGCAAAATCCTTTTAAGTCAATCTTAGTAAGGAACTACACCTATTAAGTTTAGAAGGGATTTATTTTTAAGTAGTTAAATACTTGATTTGCCTTTGCAGAAAGTCCAGAATTATAGTCTTAATTTTAATGTAAAATTGTTATTTTTATAATTGTAAGGGTGACTCTTAAAATAGTAGTTTGAAGTGACCTTTAGAGTTTTCTAAATAAATCACCAAAGAAACCTCTGACATTTACAAACTAAACAGACTAAGTACTGTCTCATCAATAATAAGCCCTATTGTTGTAAACATGATTGCACGAGACAAATGCAAGTGATGCGTGCTAAAGCAAATCACTGTCCAGTTACTGTCAAAATAACAGGGACCAAATGAGGTAATAGGAAATGATGGCCATGATCCAGACATGTCCTTTAGAGTTAAAGCAATGAGACTTGAAAAGTAACAGCCAGATGCAGCTTCATTTTCTTCCCCCTTGGGTTATGATTCTAGAATGGAGGAAGAAGCAAATTTGGGCATTTGGTGATTTTTAAAAAGGGAAAAGAGTTTACAAACTTGTTTTAATTAATGTTGCCAAGTGCTAGTTAATTTTCTATTTTCTTATTTCTTACTTATAAAATTTTCATATTTGGAAAGAATCAAAGTAAAGGAATGTAGAGGAGAAACAAGAGAAAGTTTTATTTTGATAATTTAGCATATCACTTACTAAGTTTCCCCCATATTTGGATGACTATTTGTGTTGGCAACAAAATCCTATGTAAATATCTTAGGGGATGTAAGAGAGAACACGCCTGGTTTTACCAGCAGGAAAGGACTGCCTACTTCTAGAAAGAACATATATCATGTTCTTATTCCCAAAAGCTCTAAAGGTAATGTGTACCATTGCCACTCAAATAGTATGTTCTTCTATAAAGGGGGTAATTTATTCTTCTATTTTCAATAGGAATAGGTCCCATAAAATGATTCCTAATATTATAAAATTTTTTTAATTAAAACAGTTTATTTTTTTTTAAATTGAAGTGTGTCAATTTCTGGAGTACAACATAATATTCCAGTCATGCATATATATACATATATTTGTTTTCATATTCTTTTTCTAAAGGTTATTACAAGATATTGAATATAGCTGCCTGTGCTATATAGAAAAAATTTGTTTTTTAATCTATTTTTATATATAGCGGTTAACATTTGCAAATCTGAAAGTCTCAAATTTATCCCTTCCCACCCCTTTCCCCCCACCAGTAACCGTAAGATTGTTTACTATGTCTGCGAGTCTGTTTCTGTTTTGTAGATAAGTTCATTAGTGTCCTCTTTCTTTTTTTTAAAGATTTCACATATGAATGATACCATGATATCACTCACATATGGAACCTAATACTTAAAAAGAGAAAAAATAGTAAAAGAATCAAGACGAAAGTATGAAATACTCAACAGCTTCACTTTTTAATATTTTGTAGAGTTCATCTGAATCTGAACTTCTCAAAGCAATCCCCCAGTGATGCTAGTAACACCATATATATATTAATGTTGTTATATTAATCAAAGTAGGGGGATCATTGTTCTGTTTATAGACATGGGGCCCCACATCTGGCCTCAACAGTCACAAGATACTATCAGTGACCAGGACCAGATGCTGCCTCTCAGCCACAACTGAGAAGCAGGAGACAAACTGTTCAAAGAGGAAAAACAGAACCATCATTAAAAGCAGAGGCAAAAAGAGTCAGATTGGATAGACGGCATGAGTGCTCACAAAATTCAATTAAGTTAACTCCTTTAGCTGTAAGGTACTACCTGCTGGGGTTAACAAGTATGACTAAGTCAATGTCCCTAGAGGTTGTGGATCCCTAGGAAGATGGGTATGTATATGAATCATCAGGAAAAGGGTTGTGATAGGGAAGTACTCAAAGTGTTGGGCCAGGGCAGAAGTAGGGGGTGAGCAGAGGAGGAGTGGTGCTAAGCATTTCTAACCAGGATCTTGCAGAAGGCCGCCTGGAAGAAATGGCGACCAAGCTGGGCGTGGTAGAGTTAGAAGAGCAGTAAAAGGACAAGGAAAACAGCACGAGCCATGACCTGGATATGGCCAAGCAGACTTTGATCAAAAAAAAAAAAAAAAAAAGTGCTGGAGCACAGGATGGGGGTAGGGGAAGAGAGACCGGGGACTCACGAACCCTATTTGTTTTTCCATCAGGAAACTGGTCCATAAGCAGTCCAACTATAAAGGGCCCTTTGTACCAGGAAGCATGGCCTAATACATAGTATACTGGTGACCCAGAAGGTGAAGCCAGGATGTTCCAGAACAACTGACTCCCTTTGTCCCTCTTCATAGTGACCTCTAGATCCTAAATCACAGGAAGAAAACAGTAAATCATAGAAACTTTTCTTCAACTTCTGAAATCTTTCCTAAGGGGAACTCTAAAAACACCTGTAGGGAATCCTCTCTCGTTACCTTGCACTTAGAAAGCTACTCAAGTTCTGTTTTATCCCAAATACTCTAGAGGCCCTCACACTTTTCAGCCTCAGAACCCTTTTACACTCTTAAAAATGAATAAGAACCCTAAAGAAATTGTTCATGTAGTATCTATCAATAATTACCATGTTGGAAGTTAAAACAATTTAAAATATTTTGTTAGTTTATTTAAAGTAACAATATGCCCATTATGTTAATGTAGTTTTTTTCATAAAAGTATATTATATTTTAAAAAACAAAAACAGTGAGAACGACACTGTTACATTTTTGATCTCTTTAATGTTTACTGTACTAGAAGACAATTGGATTTTCATACTTGCTCTACATTCAACCTGCTGCTATCTGTTGTTCTGGCTGAAATACAGGAAGAAAATTCAGCCTCACACATTTATACAGTTGGAAAGGGAAGAGTATTTTAAGTTTTTTTCAGATAATTATGGATAATTTTTCTTTGGTACTACAACAAAATTTGACAAGTGGTCAAAGTTTCTTAACAGTTGCAATGTGGAATTAGAAACCACGTCAGTAAATTTTTATACTATTACATTAAAATCCACTGGGCTATCTTGCACTTTGAATGTACTTTTTCTTGCATAATATGATTTTGTCACAGCAGGCATTGGTCATTTGGAAAACACTGAAGGTTCACTGACTTACACAGATCTTCCAGATGATGACACATTTGATTATACAACATCAAAAAAACATATTTGTTAATACCAATATCAATCCCAGAAGAAGAGTCTTTTAGTGTTGGTGAAAGGCATTAAGCTTATGGTGGCAAATGCAAGTTTTTAAAAATTCTAATTCAGAATTTCGAAGCTCAAGTTTTATCTTTGGCATAGATACTGTCAGTTTTCCTTGAAATGACGTGCTCATTTCTGGGACCATGTCTACCAATTATCCAAGTCTGAATAACCAGAATTTGTCTGCAGTATTTCAACTGAAAATGGTGACCCCTAAAACCATATGCAGCTAGTTCAGCTTGCAACTCAAACAACCACACAAGTGCTTTTCTATGAGGCAAGCACTATTTTTTATCATGCAGCACAAGTGCTTTAAGTGTACTTTCCATTTAATCACACAGAATAGTACAATGATGTATACTCAACGATTTAGATTCACTGGAATTGATAAGGGTTTTTTTTGCTTCATTAAGAACATTCACTAGTGAAACTGGTATCTATTTGTTGTTATCTGTTATCTGTGGTGAAGGATATGACCACAGACAGGCATATGTCGTTTTACTGCCTTCTGCAGATATTACATTTTTTACAAATTGAAAGTTTGTGGCAACCCTGCAACAAGGAAGTCTATCAGTGCCATTTTTCTAATAGCATTTGCTTTTCTTCATGTCTCTGTGTCACATGTTGGTAATTTTTGTAACATTGATAACTTTTTCATTATTATTAGATGTTTTATGGTGATCTGTGATCAGTGATCTCTGATGTTAACCACGATTTGCTGAAGGCTGAGAAGATGTTAAGCATTTTTCAGCAATAGAGTATTTTTAAATTAAGGTATGTGCGTACATTTTTTTTAGACATAATGCTACACAGTTTATAGACTATAGTGTAAACATAACTTTTATATGCACTGGGAAATCAAAAAACTTGTGGGACTTGCTTTGTTTCGATATTTGATTCATTGCAGTGGTCTGGAACTGAAACTGCAATGTCTCTGAGGTATGCCTGGTGTTACTACCCTTTGGTCTCTGCCAAAGCTCTTATTGTGGCTTCATCAGTTTTACCACCATTGCTTTTGCAACAGAACTGCAAATGTCAACACAGGGAAGAAGACAGAAAGTCTTATTGCTATTATAAAAATAGCTTTGATATTGTAGATCTCCTGAGAGGTCTCAAGGACATCCAGGGATCTGCAGACGACACATAGGTTAAGTGACAACCTCGATTATGGTCTTATGGTCTCAACGCTAGGCCTTCCATGGACATCACAACATGTAAACATAGATGGCAGTGCAATTTTTTTTTCTACCAAATTATTCTTTAAGAAAAGTATTTTTAAAGTAACAGTGAGGCATAATCATCTAAGAATACCCTACTTAAATATAAAGAAAATGTCACATTAGAGTAAAATTTTGAGGCATCGCTAACACCCTTGGCACAGCTGAACATCTCAGTGTTCTTCATTTGCTCTCAGTTGCTGCTTAATCTACCACTGTTCTTCCAAGTCAGCTCGACAGCATGGCTTTCAGCTACTCGGAGTCTTTGTACCTCTGGTCAAAGTCCCTAAGGACGTGAAGTGAGGGTTTCTAGCACAATACTTCCTCCTGTGGTGAAGGTAGCTCTCCTGGCAAGAAGCCTTTATCTGCTGGCTTAAAATTAACTAAAGAAAGTACCCTGTTGCTCTTCCAATTTCCCAACCCTTAACGATTCAGGCTCTTCTCTTATCTTGTGGCCAAGCAGAAAGAGAAAACGTTATGAAGCAGAATGATCCAGCCACTCTGCGCAAGCCCTGCTAGTCATCAGCACAAAGGGACAATCTCCCCCTCCATCTACATGACCAGTTTGTTACAGTAGCGTCCGCACACTATCCTGACCAGATCTTCCCTTTCTGGTTAACAGCTTCAAATGTGTACAGGCCATCATATTCACAGTTATACATGAAAAATAAATGATCTAGTTCCCCCGGTAACACTTACAGTCTGCCCTAAGACAGAAGCCTACTTATTGAGGGAACCATGTTCCCTTTCCCCTTTTCTAAAGATTCTCCAACAAGATTT